AATAAAGTGTCTCTCAGTCCAGAGTTTTGAAGTTGGCTGTGTGTTTGATGTGACGTCAGAAGCACCAGCTGGTGTCCTCACGTTTTACTTAATGTGTCTGTGTGGTTTGTTTTATTTAGGACCAGTATGGCAACTATGTTATCCAGCACGTGTTGGAGCACGGCCGAGCTGAGGATAAAAGCAAGATAGTGGCTGAGATCAGAGGCAATGTACTGGGACTCAGCCAGCACAAGTTTGCCAGGTAAATTCCAGTACAAACACACACACGGTTACGGTCTTATCTTCCCTCCCTTTTGAAAAAGGTTCGTTCGTTTCTCCAGAGTTGCAGCCAGATTTTCTCTTCCTTCTTTCTAAATGTATCTTCACGCACTCCCCTGACTTCCTTTCTCTAGTAATGTGGTGGAGAAGTGTGTTACCCATGCGTCGCGGGCAGAACGGGCAGTGCTGATAGACGAGGTGTGCAGCCTGACTGAGGGCCCCCACAGTGCCTTATACACCATGATGAAGGACCAGTACGCCAATTATGTGGTGCAGAAGATGATCGACGTGGCCGAGCCTACCCAGCGCAAGATCGTCATGCACAAGGTAAGTGGAAAGAATAGTGTCCCATCAAAGTGCTAGGATAATGGAGGTGGTTCTGAACCTTTTCCACACACTGGGCATGCAATGTATGTGTAGGCTATAGAGAGTGCAAACAAGGCAAAGACACGGCCATTGTTCTGCCAAAAAATATTACATATTTAGGGCTACAAGTATTGTTATATTGTATAATATTCACAGTTATGGATTGTTGATGTGTCTGTAAACTAGGGGACCACTGAAACCCATCAAAACATACCAAAACTCAAAGTGATGTCTTAAAATTGTTTATTTCGACTGACGCAAAATGGACTGGCAAACAAATGTACAGATTTGAAAACCTTGAAAAACCTCTTTTAAGCAACAATTGTCTTTGATTCATTTTGTTTTGATTGACTAATTGTTTTGGTGCTAAATATCAATCTTTAAATAACCCTACAGGGGAAATAAGCCCCCTCTCTGTCAACCCAACAACCTCCATTTACCTCCACATCAATAAATCTTAATAAGGTCATTGGTTTCCTCGGCAACAACACAGAAGCTGACATAAGCACACGTGATCGTTGATTTACAAATGAATGGGTGTTGGTGTTTGATGTTGACAAAAATACAATCTAGATGTAGATAATGTGAAGCTAAAAAGGGTGTGTGAGTGTGACAGAGTGTGAATACAGCCCACGTCCAACGTGTTCAACATGTGTGTTTGTGTGTCTGCACAGATCCGACCCCACATTTCCACCCTGAGGAAGTATACGTATGGAAAACACATCTTGGCCAAGCTGGAGAAATACTACATGAAGAATGGTGTTGACCTGGGTCCTCTCTGTGGCCCTCCCAATGGCATCATGTAAACCGACCCCCCCCGAAATCATGTCTACCACCTGATCTACCCCTCCCCCTACCCTTCACCTTACCCTCCTAAAGCTGTCATGTCTACCAGCCCCACCCTCTTGTCCCTGTCCAGCTGTTCAGAAGGCATAATGCCGCCCCCCCCCCTCCCCCAAATCCTACTCACTGAGGACGTTGAGTACCCCTTCTTCACCCATTTCCACGACATCCCTTCGGGAGGAGCCTGTTGCTACAGGCAGCCTTAGTTTTTGTCAGATTTTGTTGCCCCTCCCCCACCCGAGCCCAGGCTTTCTGAACTGGGGGAGGAAGGGAGGGGAGGGCAGGGAGTGGAGGGCGGTGAGACCTGTTCCACTCATCGTTCCACACACTCCTTTTTGGTTGTTTTTTTTTCCTTAATTTCCTCTTTTCTGATAAACTCGAAAAATCATTTCACTTTTTGCTACTGCTGCACACACAATCCTAGTGTCCCCTCCCCCTCATCCCATCCTAGCTATTTACCACTATGAGATGGAACAAGTATTTAATTTGTCTGACGTCACAGAATCATAGACGAATATACACACACACGCACACACACACGCACACGCCATCAGCTAACCAGCAGACAGATCATTTAGCATGGGAGATTCGTTTTCTGGTCTTGCTTCTATAAATATAACGTGTATACTTGGTGTAGACCTTTGCATATATATATAAATATATATATAAAACTTTGTAGTTTTTCTGGTTTTTGATGTTGAATCTGTATCTATAATGTATCCTAGTAGTGACCACATACTTCTGACTGTATAATTGTACATTTGTAAACCCTTGTAATGTAAAAGTGCTTTACCACCCTTTTTGGTATGAGAAGAAAAAAGAAAAAAGCTCACTCTGAAAAAAACAAAACGAAAAAATCTTAGAAAAAAAACCTGTGCATTTCAGTGTATATTCTCACTTCCTTGGTTGTGACATATGAGTTGTTGTATATTGTAAATTGTAATATCAAATTTTTGTTTTGAAAAGCCCTTTCTATACAGCGTAGTACTTGTACAAAGATTCGCCACGCTTGGTTTTATCTTTATCTTGTCACTGCTTAACTTAAGACGTCGATCTCCCACTGACTCCCAATTGGACACGTTATGTTAGACTTAGTGGTGTCTTCTGGTTTATGTTGAAGGTTTTGTTTTTTTGACCTTTTTTTAAGATCTTTTTATAGGAATGCTTTACCCCAAGAAATGTGTCATGTGTATGGGTATGCTGGCTGGGTGGGAGAAATACTTTTACTCATTTAAAACAAAACCCAAATCCCTTGATTACCCATGACTGTTTTCAGAGGGGTAAACCCATGGATTGTACAGAGGAGATTCTTGTGTTTTTTGGCATTTCTCTAGTGCTGTAAGTGCTGTATCATACTGTCTATGTCCTTTTGGGTGAGAGAGGCAGCCCGCCACAGTGCGGTGTACATTTGGAGCAGCCTTGTGTATATTTACTACGAGCACACCTGTAACCATATGTGTATAGTTAACAGAACCTGTGTATGCTTATTGCCTGGGCAACTATTTTTTGTAACTCCTGTTGTAGATTGTCTCTAAACAATTGTGTGATCTTTATTTTGAAACCAAACTGAACAAAAAAAACTTTGAAAATTTAACCGTCTCAAGTGTGCTTCATTTGTATGCTTTTTACGCACACACAGGAAGGACCGAGCAGACAAACTTCTGTTTTTCTTACTTATTTTAAGTGCCAGTTGTATCAAAAAGATCACGGTCTGTGCCGTATTTCCTGTTCCAGCCATCTGAGTGAACGTGTCTGCAGTGATACGACCGTGGATACACACAGCATGAGTCAGAGCGGGCTCCTGATGCTCTAGTTTCTTCATAAATGTGACTGATTAATAAGGCTGGCATCTTAGCGTGGCCCTAACTAATCACAACCAACAATGTTGGAGAGTTACAATAATGACTCCAAGTGAGGAAAACATTTAGTTCTAGTAATGGATACAGATTACTATTACTTTGATTTAAAAAAAAACTAGATTATTTACATGATGGAGACTGGATGAGCAATATTGAAAGCCTTTCAGTCATCACAATAAGCAGAAGTGAAAAGACTACTGCCATTTGAGGAGAGGACAAAAGAGTAAATCCACACTATAGCCTCAATCTCTGATAATTATACTTTTGGCATGAGTAATGACCCCAGTGTTTGAAACAAGGGATTATCCGACTACACTGCAGTGTTAAGCAGGTGTCTTATTAAAAAAAAAACCTGACATCCTGCTTGCGGCTTTCCAATGTTATCTTCCTAAGGAGACATGAGGACAAATAAACCTGTCCAGTTTTTGTTTGGAGCGTGCTGGGTCGAAGCAGAAACAGCCAAACAAGTCAGGTTGGGTGTGATGTTAGTGGCAGTAATCCCATGGATTTGTTGATTTCTCAAAGCGGATAATAATACAACCTGCAGTGAGTTTAAACTGAAGGGTGCAGTAGGTTTAGGCTGTGGCTGCTGTAGTTAAGCCTTGTATGCTGTTTTATGGATTACCCTGTGAGTCAGAGCCTGCCCAGTTTTACCCCTGTTGGTTTGTAGTGATTTGATTCAATTCAAAGTTGTTTGAAAAAAAACTACCACAAGTTGGGTTCTACATTATTACATGTCTTGTCTGTCTTGTGAATGGGCCCTGTACATCAAGCACATTTTGACACATGTCAAGCAGTAGGATGATAATGACCCTGAGGCTATTGACAGCTGATCAAGTATGAATCACATTCATGTTTTACTAGTTTTGTAGCTACCACACCAGCACAAAACAAACTTGTTTGACAAAATAGTTTAACTTTCAATTCCAGCTTTCTTCTGGGACTTTTAACAGCATTTTAAGGACTAAATTGACCATCCAGTACACTTGGTGGTGAGTGGACCTTGAGTAAAGATGGTCCTATTTGGAAGAATAGCCCTGAATGAAGTAGGTTCGGTGTAGGATGTTAGCTATTGAATTAGCAAACATGTCCTTTAATTCAATCAGTCCGTTTGGGGTTTAATTTAATATGTTTTACCTTTCTAAATAACAGACTTAAACAGTCATTATGCTATTGTCACAGTTCGCTAAACTGCACGGTTGCTAGGCGACGCAAGTAGGCTACAGTGCCCGTGGCGAATATTAATATTTCGTGACGCACACACAGGTGTGAGCTCACCTTCAGAACGTCTTAACCGTGACTCAGCCAATCACAGCAGAGCAACGGAGCTGACCGGTGAAGGTGTGTAATGGCGCGCAGCCAACCGGAACTACCTGCGCGCGAAACAAAAGGCACAACCTGGGTGCAGCCATGAACTGCCCCGCGGTGCGCAGTGAGTGTGCGCTGCCTCCTGCATACATATATATGTGTGTGTGTGTGTGTGTGTGTGTGTGTGTGTGTGTTTAAAGGGCTGCGGGTGCCTAAACGAGCTGCAGGGGGCATCCTCGCCCTTGCTCGCGGAGATCCCCCCCACCTCTCTCTTAACACACAGACATATATATACCCTCCCCTCTCTCTCTCTCTCTCTCTCTCTCTCTCTCACACACACACACACACACACACACACACACACCACTCCTCCTGCCAGACTCCCAGGCCAAGCAACGTCGCCATACGGAACATCCTGCCCTCAGCGGAGAGGGGGAGGAGAGAGAGAGAGACAAGAGAGAGAGAGAGAGTGTGTACAGAGAAAGAGACAGATTGTGTGTGTACAGAGAGAGAGCGAGAGAGGGTAGAGAGAGAGAGACTGTGAGTGTATTGAGAGAGAGAGGGAGAGAGAGAGAGAGGGGAGAGAGGAGAGAGAGAGAGAGAGAGAGAGAGAGAGAGAGAGAGAGAGAGAGACTGTGAGTGTATTGAGAGAGAGAGAGAGAGAGAGAGAGAGAGAGAGAGAGAGACGAGGTTTGGCGTCTCCCGGTAGTAAATCTATCAGGTCTCGAGCACAAAAAACTCAGAGAAACAGACAGAGAAGAGGGTAGAAGAGGCCTCGCGGTAATCTCATCGTTTACCGGTGACTTGGACCAGCAGCAGCGCGTGAAGCCTTGGATTAAAAAGCCCGACTAGAAGGACTGATGGTCGCGCGGACGGGCGGCGCGCTCTGAAGTTGAACAGACTACCGAGAGAGACAGCAAGCAGCAGCAGCTTCTTGTCCGCTCCCCCCCTCCCCACACACCTCCCCGTATCCCCGGGAAGGCAGCGGCGGCACCGGGAGGCTGTGCCCGCGCACCCCGACCATGAAGCTGCCCTGGCTACTGACGCTCACGGCGCTGCTTGCTCACGCCGCCACGGTAAGCACGAGCCTCAGTTTCTTTGTTAACCGGGGAGCTCTTGTGCACACAGGAGCCAGGGCATTTTCTGCATGCGTGCATGTGTGTGCGTGCGTGCGGTGCGCTATCGTTAATGAGACAGTGGTGTCGGTGATCGGTAGGAAATCCTGCACTCGACCTACTTACTGGCCGTCCGTGACTCCCGCTAGGGGGGCTGGCGACTCCCGTGCACCCCCACCCCCCGCTTTTACGCACACACACACACACACACACACACACACACACACACACACACACACACACACCAGCCTTTGTGTCTCAGTGTCGGGGTTTATTGTGGCCTGTGTCCCCACGAGTCAGGAGGTGTGTGTGTACGTGTGTGTGTGTCGGTAATTAGCGGGTAATCTCTAATTGAGCTTGATTACGGGTCTTTGTGCGGTGCCTCGGTATGTGGTGTCTGTGTCACCAGTTCACATCCTGTCGTTAATTTAAGGGGCTCCAGTCATACTGCGGCTTTAACGACTTTATTACCGGGTAGTCGCGCTGGAGGACGTGTGTGTGTGTGTGTGTGTGTGTGTGTGTGTGTGTGTGTGTGTGTGTGTGTGTAAGGGGGATTTGGATGTCCGATCTCCAACCTGTGAGGTGCACGCTCCCTTCATTGCCGGATAACGGCGGCCTCATCGTCGGGATGCCAGGATCCGATCAGGGGCATCCTCCCGTCATAACCGGAGGGGTGTGTGTGTGTGTGTGTGTGTGTGTGTGTGTGTGTGCGCGGCAGTGTGTGTTTGTGGCAAGAAGTGGGTGGGGTAACGGGGAAGTTAACGGCGATGCGGTGCGCGAACGAAGGCTTGGATGGAATGATGTCATCGGGAATCGCGAGGAAGGAAGCTGATTGGGAATGCGCGAGCCCCCCCCCACCACCCTCTCTCTCTTCACACACCTCCTCTCCGGAACCATCCACGCCGAGCTTCACAACCCCCCCCCATAGCACGCCCACACCTTCCGTTACCGATTAATCCAGATTTATCCTATGAGGAGGAGGAGGTGAAGGAAGAGGAGAGTGGAACCTCATTGAATCATTGAGAGAAAAAGGGAAGAAGCACCAAAAATAATCCAAATGCAGATCTACTTTTTTAATGTCAATTAAGAAGAAAGCATCATTTTTATAATATTCCTGTATATTCCCAATATTCCCATAATGTATTGGTGATCAATAGTGAGTTTAAGTAATCTTAATCTCTATCTTCCAGTCTCTGATGCTGCATTCATGGTCACATAAGGTTGGGTTGGGCCCCTGCTGATCCACACCTACCACCCTCTGTGCAGTGTGTATTTACCCTGTCGCCTCCAAGTTCCCTTAAAGTCCAGTCCCTGTACTCCTTTACTGGAATGATAATTAAAGATTCCCCCTCCAGACATGTTTGTTTGAGATGTCTCCTACTTCACTCCCAACAGCCCGTTCTTAGTCCTGAGTCATGCCGGTACGTTCCACGTTTCAAATTCAGATCTGAGGTCGTGGCCAGAGAAACATTCCCCTTATCAGATGAATGTGAAATCAGCCTTTTAATGTCCAACTCTGCGCATACATCAAAGTCAAACAGGACAAACACATTTTTTTAGTGGAGGGAAGCTTTAATTTGTGTTAGTTTGTTGTCATTTAATTGAATTAAACTTCAGGATTATGAAGCATGTGAGCACAAAACAAACTTAGATTTTGACACAAGACATGACCACAGAAGTCTCTCAAAAATATGCAGAATCCACTTGAGTTCATCTTGTATTTCAGTGGTGTACGTTCCCTAACAAATTAAAAAAATAATTATATCGCTAAAACCAAGTGACCTGCAGCTCTTTGGGGCCCCTCGAGGTCTGCAGCCCGGAGGCAGTTGATTGCCTTGTCTCGCCTAATTCAGTCCTTCAATTCTTCGCTTGGACGCAATATTTGTATTGTCAACATCTTGGCGTTCCATTGTGCTGCCTCGGCCGTGATTGCACTGGTTTTGACAGCAGCTTTCAACACCACACACACACACACACACACAGAGTGATTATTACTAGGTCAGTCGGTTGCAGACTTTGCCAAAGATCCTTGGCCTCCGGCTGACCTAATCTGTCTTTAAGTGTACAGATGGAGACAGGTGTGACACATATTCATACACACACACACACACACACACATGCACACACACTTAAATATACGCTGTCTTAGGAGAACACAGATGGATGCAGGCATCGCTTTAAGATGTAACACACATGTCAGCAGTCTAATAATTACAAAGGCTCACCTCAAGCAACCCAGGCCTTGAACGCACGTGCACACACAACCCACAGTCATATGCATTTGCTGATGAGATCTTTCTTTAGCTGCCTCTTGGCTTGAACCCAACTGACGTGTGTGTGTCTGTGTGTGTGTGTGTGTGTCTCTGTGTGCATTTCCTGTTTTTCGGAGTTGTGACATCATATCCGGGTGACTATATTTTACACGGGAGACCAATTTTCCCACAGACATCTGTTGTGTCCCACGGATAGCCAGTTTTTTGTGTGTGTTGTGTGTGTGTGTGTGTGTGTGTGTGTGCATCCGTCTGCCTTCGTGAGAGCGCTCACTGTCCATCTGTCTGTGTGTGGGCTCAAAAATAGTGAATCTCCGCTGCCAAAAACTTGTTCTCGCCAGCCCTCGCCCCTTGAAAAATGCGTGTGAGAGTGTGTGTGGCGGAAAAGCGTTGTGTTCTTGAGGATCATGTTTAACTCATGGAATGAATCAGTGTTTTGTGCCTGACAAAGCCCCCCATAGAGAGACGAAGAAAGAGAGAAGGAGCAAGAAAGAGGAAAAAATAGCCCGAGTGAGGCGGATTGAGGGAGAGTGTGGAATGTGAGAGGCAATTTGACACAGGAAGTGGGTCCTTCTTACTCTCCTGGAGGACAAAGTCCCTTCACAGACACATACACACACACATACACACACAAGCTAGCAGGTAGAAAACACTGGTGTGAAGGTATTTCAGGTGTGTGTGTGAAAGGATGGGTGAGGGGATGGGGGTCACCTTCCTATGGACAGAGGAAATGAAAAGGCTCACGGTTCATATCCGGAGCTGTATTCAGATGGCCGACGTCTGGAGCTGAGCACGGACAGAGAGACAGAATAATGAGGGCCTTCAGTGAGAAAAAAAACATCTACTCCCCCTTTTCCTCACCCCATCTCCTCCCTTTGGCTATTTGTGTGTGTGTGTGTGTGTGTGTGTGTGTGTTGGATGTGTACACATGCTGCTCACTCATATCTGAAAGCAATTTCTTATCACATAGGAGGGACTGGCTTGGCAGATGTGCTGCATTTGACTGAAATTAGTTTTCCTTTCTTGTGGAGGAAGTTTTAGTGTTTGATTCAACTCGGAAAGGAATGGAATTTCCCATTTGCTATTAGACTGATAACAGTGTGTGAGAACCAAGAAACCTGCCGTCACAATACCTGTTATTTCTGTGTGTCTGAGCTCAAAGAACAATGGGAGAGTTTGCAGAAAAACCATTAACTAAAAAAAACCAAATGCTCGGCCCTGAATAGAAAACGATCTAGTCAGAAAACTACAGACTAATAATTTAGGTTTTTATGAGTCTTGTCTGGATTTTTCTACATTATTCTTATTAATAAACTTGTAAATTAATAATAAACTTGCAACATACTTTTTTCTAATAAAGCACATGAGTAAAAACAGCTATTTCCTGGATGTATATACCGGTACATCAACCTAGCAGATAAAGTTAAGTGTATTGGCCTTAATGTCCTTATTTCATCCTGTCAGGCTGTGTAGAGCCCCAATAACGTCCACAAAACACTTACAATATTTCTTACCTAAGGATTAATCCATGCTTTTGTAATTCATTATGTAATTCATTATATTCTTGCCACGGCAGCTCGGTAGCTCGTTTGTAGAAGGTTAAAAATTCTGAAGCCTCTGAGCCTTTTACTCCAATAAGTGTTGGCCTGTCTCCATTGGATACCAGTGGAGCTTTAAAGGACCACTATGTAGGATTTGGTGGCATCTAGTGGTGAAGTTGCAACTAACTGAACACCGCTCACGTTTGTATTTGACAACCTTGGAATGAGAACAGGTTGTGAGGTATGTAGGAGAGACTACAGTGGCCACGAAACTTGAAAAACGTCAAAAGCCCTATTTAGAGCCAGTGTTTGGTTTGTCCGTTCTGGGCTACTGTAGAAACACAGTGGTTCAACATGGCGGACTCTACAGAAGGTAAACCGCTTTGATAAAAACGGCTCATACTAAAGTAGCAAAGACACAAAGATTATTAAGATTTTGATAGGTGATTATACACTCATGAAAACATACCTAATTGCATTTCTAAATCCTCCTAAATGTTACACACTGGACCTTTTAAAAGTCTAAATAATACTTCAGTTATTACCCGATGAAGCCACCTGAGCACATACAGTAATGTAAAGTCTCTGGGGTTGGCTAACCACTGAACATTGAACCTCACTTAATAGCTCGAGGGTAAATCTCTCCAATATTTAATGAAAAACTTAATACAAATATGTGTAATTTAACTGTTTTTTAATCATCTCATCGTCCACCAGCTGTGCTACTGTCAGTGCATTGATGCTTGATAATATATCAGTCACAGGAGCCGTTTCACTGCAGAATGGGTACTTTTACTTTTGATGCTTTAAGAATAGCTAATACTTTTATTGAAGGAGTTTAAACGCAGGTGTTGTACAGTGCGGTCTTGGCACTTTCACACATGTAAAGGATCTCAATAGTTTTTCAACTACTGGAAAGGGGCTTGATAATTGAATCTTTAGTCACTGACACCCATGCTGAGGTGCCATATTGTTGTACTTTCTAGTCTGTGTGAATCTCTGTTCACACTGCCAGTCACAGTTTAGAAAGTACCTGTTTTCTTCAATCATTTGGCTCCACAACATTATGCAACACCAAACTTTCCCCCGTGGAATGTGTTCAAGTCATCCCACAAATTAGAAAGAATGCAGTTATAGCCTGAATTCATCC